ACAAAATGGGTGTTGGATAGATCGACTGTGGATTTGAGGTATACTGCCAGACTGTTTTGAATTAAAAATTTCAAGAATTGTACAAAATCCTTAATTGGATTACCTACTTCTAGCTTTCGTGGTTAAGCGATGTCTTTTATTTCTGCTTTTGGGCGATGTACTTCCACAAAGAGAATGAGTAGAGCTCGATTTTATATGATCCTGGGGAATGCACGAGTAGTAACTTAGCGCTGTTCCCGTTTTAGGATGACATTCAGAAGTTCGCATTCGTTAAAGCTATTCACCATAGCTGCAGCTTTCATGTTCGATTCCAACTATGATATGCCATCGAACAGCGTAGCTACCACGTTGAAAATATCAAGCTGACCGACAAATCATTTAATACATTCTGGCAGCTGGAACCACCGCCTCTATTGAGAACTTTCAGGAACCATTCCAACAAAGACCACCAGTCTGCGTTCCGTAGTCACGCGCACGCTAACTTGAAAGTACCCATTATTAGGTAAAAAATACTCATTTTGATGAAAAGTGGCTTAACTCATTGATGAATATGAGTGTTTTACCTTTTAATGAGTATCAGTTACCCATTCATGAGTAACTATTACCCCATTAATGAGTAGCTGTTACTCAATTAATGGGTTAAAAATTTACTCACCAATTAGTTAAGCCACTTTCCTATTTTCTTTTTTACCCATTAATGGGTACTTTCAAGTAAGCGTGCGCGTGACTACATTCCTATTAGAGCTATCGAACAGTTCTAGATAGAGCTGGAATTAGGGCGTAACAGCTTTTGTAAACAATGACTTCTCTTGATGATTTCTCGGAAGCCATGGCTCTCCCTGGCAAATCGACATAACCATCGAGTAGAGGAAGACTTCTCCTACCCGATGGATATGAAGGTTTGTGAAGGCGTGCCTTGAATTCCGAGAAATCAACGAGAGAAGTCATTGTTTACAAAGGCTGTTACGCCCTAATTCCAGCTCTATCTAGAGTTGTTCTCACTTTCCGCCTTAATGGAATTGATCCGACCGATTAAAAGAATGGAAACGGTTCAAACGTCTTTCAGTGAGCAGACCCCCACAGTTGACGCTAGAACAGAAAGAGAGAGCAGCGCGGGTGATAAAACCCTAGGTACTGCGGACTCACTCAATGTGCTTGTCACTTGGGAGCCAATGTGAACTGTCAAACGGGAGCCAAACATGCAGAAGCAACAAATGCAGTTACTGTTCTAATCTACCAACAAGCATTGTGTTCTCATAAAAATTATCCACATTCTTAATGTTAAGCTCAGGCTCAATGATGAACGTATAAAAAGCAGCATCAAGGGGCGCCGAGTACTTCATCCGTGTCGAATGCTGGGTCAAGCGTTGTGCCGAACGTGCCGAAATATTGCAATCAAGGTATCAGTCTCAGTATCCTATGAGTTTGGCAACCCTGCAGTTATGACTTTTATTTACATTTTCAAGTCAAGAACGGAAAAAAAAGTTGTGAACATAAATTCCAAGATAAATTTTTATATTCAACGTGCTCGTTGTCGGTCATTCGCTTTGAAGAAGTGATAGTCGAAGTTCAGGTCCTCAGCGGAAAGGAGAAGGGTGACTGATTTAGATTTAGAATTTTTGAAAACCCTAATAAACAAATAGGAGACCCAGGAAACTACTGAGATTAGTCATTAACGATAGCAAATTTACTAATGTTGCTATTCTTCTTTCTCATGGTTCTCAACTTCTTAATTTTAATCCGTTCATCCACATCTTCCATCGAATAATCTCCAACAGCATCCAAATGTCAGTCCAGGATACTGGTTGCAGTCGTTTGATGACTACCAACTCCTTGTATCTGCATGTTGTTCTTTTATCCTTGCTTGGTCATGCCAGAATCGCATATTAAACTCCCTGCAACTGCTGCCGGTTCCGATTGCGTTCAATAATACCACGATTAAGATTGGCGCCGTTGCCTCCGGTGTGGTTACCTGCACAATTATGTTAGCAGCATCTATCTTAATGTAACACCCAGTTGTGAAAGAGCGTGGAGAGACTGCGACCGGTAATACGGGATCCATTGACTCCACCATACAGTCAATAGAATCACCGAGATTGTTCAATCCATAGAATGAGCTGTACGGCTGGTGAACCATCAATCGTACCGATGTGGGGGAAACTGCTGCGGTTGCAGATACATCTGCAGAATGGTAGGATTTCTCGGCACCGGGCTGTTGTTGACACCGTACATTAGCGCTGTAATCAGAACTGAATTCTGAAATTGTCCTTACCCATACAATTGGCTCTCGGTCCGGATCCTACGACCTATTTTGCGTGGAGTGGTGACTCTAACTTATTCGTTTGGACTTCCTCGAAACTATGGGCATCTCTCAAAAGTCGTATGGAATGTCTGTAGAGGTTCATCCCCCGCAAGGTATAGGGACACAATTATATAATTTCTAATTATGATTGGGGACAATTCCGCTGGAAAATCGACAAAAAAATTAAGCTGCAAAAAATCATTTTCCTCCTTACTTTGAAGTAAACCAAGAAGTAAACCTTAGCAACTATGGTAAAATTTCTACAGTGCTGCCGTTTTATATTATATTCTATGTCATACTTGTCACCGTGTGCCATGAGTACCGATCAGTGTGACACGATGTGTTTCGGCACAGTGTGCAGAGTTGATTACCCCTTGAGCAGCATGGTATTTATGCCTCAGCAGAATTTTCGATTGCAGTAAAACATACTTTGGCGAAACAAGTGTGTGAACAAACCTTGATAGAGTCATGGGGGATCGAGCACTCCTGGCTCAGAGCTTTTGGCGGGAATCAGCTGAGAAAGAGCAAAACAGTTTTAAACTTGAGACAATTTTCAAGTAGTTTTCCACTGGCTTGCAAAATAAAATCAAACTACTCCGCAGTACCCCCACGATATCATGACACTATCGGCACAGTTGAGGTACACTGAGAAAAAAGTTAGCGCAGAATGCGTGTGTAGTGTAACCACCCCTTGTTTTTATTTTTTAATTTACTGAAAGATTAGATCGATCGAGATTGGGACATTCGTGACTGGACTGGGATGAGAATTGAATTAGTGATTTAGGCGTGAAATGTATGGATGCCCACCAATACGTTCATCAGTTGATACTAAAAGATGAGGAGGTTTTATGCCCATTTGAAAAACGCTTTGAAGTGTCTACTCAAATGGACTTTTACCTGCTCCGAATAAAGAAATAATAACGAACAAAAAACAAAACAATATATGCATAATAATCCTGCGTATTTTGTAGAAAAATTACATATTGGTTTCAAAATTGTAGCATAACTTTTAACCAAGGTTGCAAAGACTAATTTCAGCTAAAATAATGTTTTTTGGAATAATAAAACCAAAAGATGGTATGATGGCATGTTTTACTTGTAACTTACAAGAAGAGGTTACAAAGTATGCGTTGGAAACATAAAACCTGTAAATTTTGCTTTCTATGAGTCACAATCAGCGATTTGCTGATCGCTGAGTGAGTGAGTGAGTGAGTGAGTGAGTTTGTGAAAAATCGCTGATTGTGACTCTCATGAAGTGAAATAAACAGGTTTAATATGTCAAACAAATTCTTTGCAACCTCTTCTTGTATCCTACCAATTCAAAATTTGATCATGGCATCTAATTATTTCATAATTTAGAAAAACATTGTTTTAGCTGAAATGAGTCTTTGCAACCTTGCTTTTAACAAAATGTTCTTATTTGCAAACGATAGTAATCAAATATTTTAATACAATTTGTGATTTTTAAAGAAACTAGACAACTATTTACAAAAACCTTAAAACTTTAAGCCATATTGATTGGTTTTAATAATCTTATCTCAATCTTGTTTTGAGGCATAACATCTCTGATCACGGCTTACTTCGGAAGGGAAGTAAAGCCGATGGTCCCCGGTTCATGAGTTGATGGGTCAATATGCAGGGTCCAGGTGTGGAAGCTGCCTCCCTGGCGTCGGTAGCATTGGTGCTCAGCACGGAAACCAAGATCGATGGAAATCAAGGGAAAAAAACACTAACACGGGACATAATAAAACCAAAGAAGATGACGTTTTTTGCTTACAGTCTAATTTTGAAAGTTATATGCATTGTTTTTTTCTGTAGTTGTGGAAATATTGATTTTAACGAAATATGGACTATTCTAAAAAATATTGTGCATTTATCGCTATCAATTTTTTTTTTCTGATTCGCATTCAAAATCCATTTTTTTTTTGGAAAGAAAATCAAATCTCCATACATTATTCTTCTGATAAACTTTTTGCCACAAAAGGATTAAACTATTTTTTTTTTCAAACACTATGCAATAAGCAGTTTTTCCAAGCTATAAAAAATGCTTTTTTTAATATTTTAATTTGCGAAGTTTTTTTTAGCTCAACTTGAAAAAATAGTGTACATTTTAATGCAAAGATTATGGAATTGCAATTGTTCTACTTTTAGTATTGAAACAATTTCCAATGAAAGTTTATATAAAAAAATCATTTTCTCATAAAATCCTGGGATATGCTATCACTCGTCTCACTTCAAAAACTGTATTTAGCGAAATATTCTATTCAATATCACTCTGATGATTAGGTAGTTCCTGTTGTTTATTCACATAAGTGATCCGATATTTTTAGTGTATGAATGAGATGGTTGGCCAGAACCAAAATATGCGCAATCAAAATTACTTTTGTCGAACTATAAGAGATACAAGAAATCAGTGGAAAATTCCAACTATTGTAAACAAAATATGCAGCACATTTCCACGATAAGCAGTAATTTCAACTCCAATCTAAAGCTCCATAAATCTTGGCAGTACATCACTAGCAGTGCTAACGGCATCAATTTACGTTGCATGTTTGCATCAATTTTGCCAAAGTATGCTTAAGTGGCTCTCATAAATTTTCTCGCATTAAGCACATTTTGCATTACTACACTCCCTTTACGATTTTTGTTTCCTTATGTTGTTGAGTAATCGCATAGCAAATAATAAGATGACACTCACGTAATGCTCCAAGAATGGAATCTATCCTTAGAACGACTCCGATTAGTAGAAGTGCGGTGACTGCTTTCATTTTGCCTTGATTTATCTTCGTTATCACACTCTTTTCGATTTTTTTTCCGATCAAGTCAACTTTCACAGCACTTCAAAGTCCATGAACTTGAGATCCTTTCTTTGTAAGCAACACTGTTTCGAGCACTCGCACAGCTTCCTTGTAGAAGATATTCTTTTCTCGCTTTCACCGGTTATCCTTGAGCAGAACTCTTCACCGGAAGCTTATTTCGAGAATGACAGAGAAACCAGACACAAAGGATCCTACAACCGCTACTGGGTTACCATAGGAACTATGAATCCAGGAAATTCTTCAACCACCTACTCTGACTAGCGCAGAACCGAAGCCGACTGTTTTCAAAGCTGTGCAATCGGGTGCCTTTTATAGAATGTGTCCACTCGTCGACGGTGGCGGCGGGATTCTCATTCTGAGTCGCGTTGCGTAGCCATCTACCCTATCGAGGTGTGATCGTGCGCGTGCAGCACAAAACCGCCGCTGCCGGTTTCGATATTGTCTGAACGAGAGGATATTTATCGAATTTGGCCCATTGTCGCCCGCCGCTGCCGATAGTGGTCTTCACGTAGGGGATATAAACACAAGCTACACTTTATCATCGAAGTAGGCAACATTAACGGCGGCGTTGCTTGTTTACATACGCGTAAGAGCACGGCGCACCGATTGCTACGATGATCGGGGATTTTCACGATCAGTGGTGGTGCGCGACATCAGGAAGACGGCTCGATTCGCGATTGAAGAACTTCTTGAGAATGTGGCGGAGCCGTCCGACGGCTATGTACACAGTTCCATCATCGGAACCAAGAGGAGCGATGCAAGAGATCTGGAATTGTTTTTCTCCAGAACTCGTTTCGAAGAAGTCAAATATTTTGTCAGCAAAATGTTTGCACATTCGAAATATGTGATATGTTCACATTATTTATTGTAATTGTGACGTCAAGATTGAATAAACTAGCACTCCTTGAAGGACACATAAGATAAATTATGACGGACACATATGATTTCTTGTTTTATTTTATAAATCGATTCATGAGCGTTTTGAGTAGAATAAATGTATAGCTTAGCACGTTGTTTTTGCATTCAATTCTACTACTATTGTATCACTTTCACTAATTCTCTATGTTTGAAAAAAAACTATAACAGATACGTATTTCGTTGACTACTTGCAAACTTATTCCGTGTTTATTCAAGATTGAATTTTGGATATATATATATCTTAGCGAAAAAATCGAAACTTGATGCGGTCGCACAGGCTCACAGGGAAATAATATCTCCATGCATTCCGAAACTTTTCGAGGCGATTGTAAATGAAAAACTCTTTCTTCAAATTAAAAACAGAATAACTACTATGCAACATGGCTTCTTTAAAGGCCGTTCAACAACTACGAATTTGCTCGAATCAATTAATTATTCCTTGAATGCGATGGATAACGGAAACCATGTAGAAGTGTTTTATACAGATTTCAGCAAAACGTTTGATCGGATTGACATACCCATGCTTCTTTTTAAACTTTGAAAATTTGGAATTCATTACGCTTTTATGCTGACGACATTTAACTTTTATTGGAAATAAAACATGTCAAAGGCATCAACACATTCAAAGAGGAAACACAGATATTTCATACTTTGTAACATAAAAGCCTGCTACAATTATATATAAAAAATGTAACTCAATTACCATTAGTAGAAAACGAATCCAACCCGACATAGCAATCACTTTAGGAAACCAGAACGTAGAAAAGTGTGGTAGAGTCAGGGATCTAGGTGTTATTTTGGACTTAAAGCTTACTTTCACCGATCATTATAACACAATTATTAACAGAGCTAACAACATGCTTCCTTTCATAAAACGTTTCTGCTATAACTTTCACGGTCCTTATACGATAAAAACATTGTAAATTGCTTATGTAAGGTCGATATTAGAATATTGCAGCATAGTTTGGTCTCCTTTTTCAATCATACACGAAGACAGCAGTTTCTATTGTATACACTCCGCAAGTAAGGTTGGGCTGTATTTTCTCTGCCAGCTTAAACAGTTCGGTGGATGCTAATAAATATCCAAACATTGAAAGAGCGTCGTGAATTTGCTATGATTTCATTCGTAAACGATATCGTATCACATCGCACTGATTCAATAGAACTATTGTCATCCTTAAATTTCAATACACCATCTAGGCATTTACGAAACAGAAATATATTTGCTACGAATCGTCATCGTACGAATTAAGAGGTATTCAACTTTGCACAGCTTTCATGCCGAGTGATTGAGTTGTGCCAAGCACTGTGCCGAACGTGCCTATCAAGGCCAATCATAGTATGCCTATAAAGGTGTCAATATTCCATGAGTTTGGAAACCCCGAAAGCTATGACTTTTGTGATTGAGTTTACAATCTCAATTTCTCTGATGGATCTTGGCAAGCATTCACCTTCATTCTCATTAGAGCGTTAGTGGTTTGGGAGGTAGAAGAGGAACTGGAAACCATAAACCGAAGTGCGTGTCCTCAAAGATATAACCCAAGCCTATCATATAGCTTATTATGATGCCTTTTATCACCTCCTAATTACACATCACCATCCGTTCAAGCCTACCAAGTTACAATCTGATTCAGTTGTGGTACCTTCCGCAATGTACCACTGATGAAATCTATCAAACATCTCCCCCTGAAAAGCTGTCATGCTTCGAAAATAAGATTCTCGGCCACCGCAGACTTCAGCTGAAGCACTTTATCCGGCGCCTGTAGGTTTGTATAGAACTCGAAAAGTTTCCGTCCTTAGCTCCAGACAGATGACAAACATGGGCGATCCGTGGTTCAAGAGCTTATAGCAGTACTGATACATCTTTCTAAACTCTATGTCGCATGGTACTCTTCTTTTCATACGAATAACATAACGAATAATAGTGTACACTCAAAAAATTCCACACGTTTGATCGAAGTGTTTAAACACTTGATTTTTTAAATGCACAATCTCAATTACTTTAAGTGTATTTCACCTTGGTCCAATGTGTCATACACGTTAATTTCTAATGTTTCAAACTTTGAAATGTTGAAAATCTTTCACTATCTATTCAGGTGTATTGCACATTGAATCACACTACTGTTCAAAAAAGATCGATTTAAAGTGTTTTGCATTTCAATGCAATGTGAATTGCTTGCTCAGAAAGGTAAACATCGAAAACAAGAGTTGTGACTTTATCATATCAACACGCCTCATATATGAGAACAACCGTGGCATAGTGGGATCGAACGAAGACTCCGGCAGCAGCACACCCCAACAGTCCATGATCGAATCCCAAATTAGACCCATTAAAAAGATATGTGAAAGCTCTGGCCTCTGGCAGTTTTGTGTATATATTTGTCGATTCATTTTTAGAGTCGGCAAAGTAGAAGTCGATAAAGTAGGATATTGTAGAATATTGAACTATGATGGGCAAAGCTATTGATATCACCAAATGAGACACACAGAATTCAAGTGTGTCACAATTCAAATCCATAGTGTTCAGGCATGATTCATATAGCATAAGATTCACACATGAAATGGATTTTTTTTTTTTTTTTTTTTATTATAGTCACTTTAACACTCTTGGGTCATTCGTGACTTGTCCGGGGGTGAGATTTGAACTCGTGACTTTGGCGTGAGAGGTATGGATGTTAACCACTACGCCGGGGTCGCCCCCACACATGAAATGGATGTGTTTCACAATAAGCGCAAAATTAAGTGTGAGACACATGGTGATGACGTGTGGAATTTTTTGAGTGTAGGTGTTATCCCAAGTAGCATTTCTTGTTTTATTGCACTCTATTAGTGGTTATTGAGATCAATTTCATAAAACCGCCAATAAAATTAATAGCTCCAGCACAACCTTTTGATAACCGCTATAAGATCGTCATACAGCTTAGTGGACCACTCTTGATAAGGTTTATAAAGCATGTTTGAGAATCACAATAAAGCTGTCTTAAAACCTTTTGTCAGGAAGCCTCATACTCTACAAAAGGTTCTCATAGCCTCTATAAGAGTAATATTGTATCCAAGCAGTTTTATTACGCTTTGGTGAAAATCAGTTATAAAGCCAATTTAATTTGTATTGGCTTCAAAGCAACCGCCATAAATTAGCTTGTTGTTGTTCTGTTCTGCTGAAACTTTTTTTCCAAATGGAAATCTTTTGCGGTAAAAATATGTTTGAGTGTTGGTGTCAAGATCACCATGCCATCAATTTTGTTTCATGGCGACATTAGTGAAAATTTTAAAGAAAATATATGACTTTTTAGAAGTTCCAAAACATATGCGCTTGAAATGTTATCGTGTATATTGAGATAATATGAGCGTTAAATAAATGCGCCTCCAAAATAATTCAAGTTAACAAAAAAGATTGTTTCAGAAATCAAATGAATTTGATGGAATTACCTTAATTTTACAGAAAATTGATCTCAATACATAAATTCATAACAATGCACACTGGAAATCATTTCGGATCTCTTATTTAGCCATTATTTTATTGAAATTTCTTGGATTTTATTCCAAGGCTAATGGCATTTTCATAATGACAATATGGCGACAGAGGACAGCAGGCAAGAAAAACACCAAGCGCAATTTCTTAAAATGTCTAATGCTTACATTGCACACTGGGTCAGGAATGCAACCTAGCGGATCAAAATTAATAACTCCGAAACGAAGCATTTCCGCGACTTGGTGTCTTCGGCAAAATTTCTCGTCATAATAAGGACCATCTATTGACATAAACAAATAGTTCAAAACTCTTCCGCAAAGATGGTGCCACAATCTAACTTCTTTCTCTGACGTTTTGGAGACTTGATGTTTTGGGCAAAGTTGTTTATCTTGACAAAATAAACAGCTATTTCAAAGATGTTAAATTTCCACTGTCTACTGGTTCCAAGTTATATGGAGTTAAAGAAAAAATGTCGAAAATATGGTTTTTTTCTGTTTAGGTTTTTTTGCTTACAGCTTTATAATGTTTTATTATTCTCTTATGCAAATACACTAAATAAATAGCTTTTGTGAAGAAACATACTGGATTAAGCTTCAAATTTCAAAGATATTGTTGAAAAAACGAGAAAAAAAAAACACAATTTTTGAACATTAATATCTCCCAAAGCGCAAAAAATCGCAACTTTCTCTTTCGTTGATAACTTATTCACAGAACCGTTTCTTGATGTGTTTGTCGTATTGGATGCTTGATAAAAGCTTCTTTTATCGATTTATGTGCTGAAAATACCTGGGAATGTTTTTACATGACCGTGGGGATGCAAAGAGAAAGTTGACGAAGCGAATCTGTCAATATTACTTAGAACCTAATGCAATGTTCAGCATGAATTCATTTTTTTATTTGAGGGCAA